CATCGCCGCCGGCAGGCCAAGCAGGCCCGGCCCCTGCCGAACCGAGTTGCCGGCGCAGCGAAGTGGAGCTGGCTACTCGGTTTGGCGGAAGGGCGGGCCTGCTTGTTTTTAGAGCAGAAGGATGGGCACCCTTTTTGTTACCTGCCTAGTTGACGTAGGCAGCAGCGCCGTATATGTATTTCATTTCCTGAAATCACCTTTCAAAGGTTTGCAAAACGATGTCGTAATTTGTACTTAATTTGGTGCATGCCTACAAATATGGTTACACGGTAAAAAGAACGATTTAGATTATGTACAATTTTGTTAAATTTGCTATTTGCGAAGTACCACGTTGCACTTTTCCTCGGCAATGGAGTTTAAGTCGATACGCAGTCCTTGTTTATTTGCAAATTAGAATTGTAAGTGTGTGCCACCTTCCATGGTAATCTTTTCTGTACCACGTGCAATAACTTCTCATAGTGCAAAAACTGAGCTTTTCCTGCAAGTTGGCTATGGAATTATAGAGAGTTTTGCTTCAAATATTTTTTTTTATCTTGCTGCGATTTGAGAAATATATAATTGCTTAAGTTTTTGTGTATACCTTGGGGTACTCGACGGAATTGGACCTCCAAACGTACGGCTGAAGAGCGGGCACTCTGGCTTCCTCGGGTTCAGTGCCACCTCGTTCTAAAAGCAGAACAGTCGCGCTCGTCGATTCTGAAAGGCGTGAAGCGAGGATACATCTGCAATTTTAAAAACGCAATTAGAGCAGAGGCCTAAAGGCAGCGAAGAATGATCATGGTGGCCAACTCAAAATACTGGTTGGCTATGGCAACTAACTCTTGTCTTCGACTACTAATTCTTAGGTGGCACAGCGAATTTCCCGACTATCCCAAAATTAGCCAACGCATTGGTTCGAACAACTAATCTTTTTTGTCCGTGCGATACCTACCCGTTTTTTATCGCTCTATAAACTGCAGAGCAAAACCTCAAAAGCAGGGAACTAGCAAAAAGACTTTATGACTAACAGATTTTCGATTCACTGTTAACAATTTTATATTAAAAAAATGATTTATATGAAAGCTATTTTCTTCACAACTTCATGTAAATTTCATTTACTTTTCATTACAATTGAGGAATGAAATTTCATAACACATGCCATTAAAAAAATTAAAACTTTCTGAAAGAAATTTGTTGGCCTTCAACTCCCTTGTATTTAAGTCCACAGCCTACTAACGTGTTTTAAAGGCCGTAACTAATATGTACGCCGCGCCTCACCCGGCCCGGAGTCTTTGGTGGGGAATCCGTCGCCTTTGACGCCTCGGCCACGGGCACTACCTGAGAGTAGCCGAGCTGTAACCTGATCTTGTGCCACCATGGGCCGGAGGGAGTTTCCCAAGTGCACTGTTAAACATATTGTGTGATTTACGAACACTTCCACGATACCAACCAACTATCAAATCACAACCCTTCTTTGAAGTCAAAAATAGTCTATTTTGCTATCTTACTTGGAAAAAGGTGTGAACCAATCGTTTGGGCGGGTAATGACATTCCAATGGCGTGTTATGCAATAACCGTTCAATTTAACATTGTTCTGGCAACTTAACGTCATTATATATTGAGAGTTTAAATGTCATGAAAAATTTAGGAAATTGTTTACTTGAGTGACTCCTCGCCCTGGAGTCACTCAAGTATACCATCGGAAAGGTATTTTTCAGTAGAATCCTGAACAGTATTTATATATTGGCGCTCGAGTCTGGTTTTCCTCAAAATTAAATAAATATGGGTCGCCGCTAACCTTCAGATCCACTTTGAAGACGGCAGAATAACTTACGTTTACGACTAGTCCTGACGTTGATCGCTCCGGCTTGGGTTTTTTAATCATTGCTCCTGCATCAAAGACTACGCCTGATTCATAATATCAGGCTTTCTTTCTCTACCGTTGCTTAAAACACAGTTTTCACACTTCTCCAAAAATGCCTTCTGCTTGGCGTGGTCCTACCCAGAAAGGGGGCCGAGTGCTGTCACGTGCGAGGCTACGTACCGGTGAGACACTCAGGCGGACGGCGGGCTCGGTTTACAACAACAATGGGCAGTTCAGAGGGGCACAGGCGCAGGTTAACAGTGGTACCAACAGAATGTAGGAAAATTGTGGCTGCCCGTCCTTCATTGAATTTTCCCTTCTATTTAACTATAAATATTGCGTTGAACGTTCCGATAAGTGGCTGGTAGCTGCCCGTTTTCGAATAAATTTCCCCGAATAAATTTTCCCTTCTAACCGGCCGTCTCCGAATGATTTTCCCCGTTGCCGCCCCTTTTTCCCCAAAATAAATTCCCAATTTGTGAGCTCTCAAAATTTTATTTCCCAAAGGCTAATATCCCAATATGACGTTCCCAATCAAATGTTCCCAATACGATTTTCCCAAAATCTTAAAATCCCAATATGCAGTTCCCAATTATATTTCAAGTGGCACCACCTTCATTGTAGGCCAGCGAGGCATTGTTGATTGTTGCTCTGGTCATACAGCGGGGCTCTCTCGCTCTCTCGGCGGCAGCGCAGTGGGTGGTGAGCATGGCGGCCGAAATACTCACGTCACGCCGTGGAGGGGGCGAAGCTATTGCTGAACGGTCACATATATTACCGCAGAGATGCAAAGAAAGGAAGAATATACTGGAATTGTAAGCGAACCAAAGAGTGCAAGGCGACAGGCAACGCAGGCGACCTAGGTGTAGTGCACGCCATGATTCGGATTTGGGCTGTCTAGATACCGTGTCACCCTGGGCGGAGAAGACTTCATCCTCTATGACTCTTACGATCACCGGGACGAGGACGACGACGATGAGGAGGCGCGAAGGAATCGGGTCATAGTCTTCGGGACCAAGAGGAACCTTGAGCTGCTCATGAAGTGCGTGCAGTGGTTCTTGGACGGGACCTTTAAGACGTCCCCGCACATCTTCACCCAGATCTTCTCCATCTTGGGCCTCGTGAAGCGACCGGGTAACACCGTGGACGACCCAGACGTCGTGACAGCCGTTCCTCTTGCTCTTGCGCTGCTTCCATCCAAGAGCGAAGTGCACTACACAGAAGTACTCCAAGCAATCAAAGACGCTGCAGCCAGGTTCCGTGTTCAGGGAAACGGACCCGAGAAAATCATGACCGATTTCGAAGTGGGGATTGTAAATGCATCAAAAAGCACATTTCCGTACGTACGTGCATGGACCACGAGGACGGGGAGCGCGACGAGCACGCCGCCCACGCTACGATCCGGCCTTGTGGAATACCTACGATGCTACACTGCGAGACGAGCATCGGACGAACAACCTCAGTGAAGGATGGCACAACCGCTTCCAGGCAAGTAGTCATTTAAAGTAACACTACCCCTCGCGCTATGGTCGCGTCTTAGGCGAGGGGTATATCGGCCCATTGTTTGTGTTGGCAGTTAGTTGTGTCGAAGAACCACCCGTCCCTGTACTCGTGTCTGCACGAGTTCCAGAAAGAGCAGGCGGACACAGAGACGATCCTCTTCGAGCTGCGCATGGGCCGCAAAGTCAAGAACCTGCCCCGCAAGAAGTGGAGAGACACTCAGCGACGCGTTCACAACATCGTCCGACAGTACGACACCTACAAGGAAGAGGGAAGAATGGCGGACTATCTTAAGGCATTGGGCCACAACTGCACTTTGTAGTTTCTTTTGGGAAATTTCCCGAATTTTGGGAAATTAATGAAGTTGGGGAATCAGGGAAGTTGGGAAAATAATAAATTGGTAAAAAAACTAGTTGGGAATTATTTCTTTGGGAAAGTCTAATTGGGAATATAAAAATTGGGAAAAAGTTGTGTTGGGAAAACGGTATTGGGAAAAAGGGGCTGTAACCGATTTTCCCTTCTATTGATCACGCCTCACTATTCAGCGTCCTGACCTAGAGGCGAACAAGAGGAGCTCCGGAACGATGTTGAGCGGGTCGGTGTGCGCCGACATAAAAGCAGGAGCTGCAGTCAGCACGACGCTGAGCGTGGGTGCGCCCCGACAGCAACTGTTGTTGACAACAGCAGCAGCAGCAGCAGTCAGCATCTGAAGGTTAGCGGCAACGCAAATTTATTTAATTTTGAGGAAAACCAGACTCGAGCGCCAATATATAAATACTGTTCAGGATTCTACTGAAAAATACCTATCCGATGGTATATTTGAGTGACTGCAGGGCGAGGAGTCATTCAAGTGAACAATTACCGAAATGAACTACGATTAATGTTTACTGCGTAATGAAATTTCAAAACAAATTAACAGTGTACTGGGTCAGTTTCACCTTCTGAGGTCCTCCGTAAAAAAATATTAAAGGTTTGACACAAGACACACATCTAAAACAGGGGTCCGTAACTTAACCTGAAACTCCCCTTTAACGGTACGTCATCCGTTCAAGGTACTGGCTGAGCGATTAGCGGAGCCTATTACTCCAGTGATGGTCAAAAAGTTTCGCGTCTGTCTGTACGCACGGTAACTCAAAAACTGTTTGAGCTAGGCGACTCTCATTTTTATTGTAGCTTTGTAGCATAAACAGGAAGAACTGTATTGATTTTGAGCCCTCTGGCTCAAAAATTAACGTGTCAAAAAAATCATAAACAAAAAGCCCAAAACATTTCTTTAAAAATATAATTTTTTTACATCAGTCTCGTCAAAGTAAAACCCTTCAGGCCAAAATTTTGCCCGTTTGGCTCTATCTAACAAAATTAGTGACTTTTGGGGCCGAAGGCCTATTTACGACTGTACCCTTTGCCCGACTTGGGTGTCAGCGCCGCAGGCGCGAGACGTGGTCTGGCGTACATCTACCTTGTACTCTTGTTATGATTGGCTGAGCGCTTAGCAAAGCCTATTACTCCGTCTGGTCGGAAAAAACTTTTACTGTCTGTGTGTGTGTCTGTCCGCACGATAGCTCGAGAACGCATTCGGCTAGCGATCTGGGATTTTCAGGGTCGCTTTGTACCACAAAATGGCAGGTCGAGTTCGAAGATGAGCATTCTAGCTCAAGAATTTGATTTTTTAAAAATCGAAAACAACAGGTCCCAAAAATGACGTTTTTTAAAAAATATTTCTTTATGGTTTCCTAGGGTAACTCATAAAAGTAGATCCCTTAGGACACAAATTTGGTCCGTTTTGCTCTAGCTCAAGCCGCTGAGGCGCTAGAGGGTATTTTTGACGAAAATAAGCGGTAAAATGTACAACCCTGCATGCTTAGTCGAAGTGATGGGCTGTAGGCCCGTATCTTTGTGTACATATTGCTACTACCTGACTCGGGTGTCAGCGCCATAGGCCAAGATAAATGTATTCCAGGCGCGTCACAGCGTAACGGTGTTTCGTGAGATATCGCGAAGCTTTTCACGCGAGACGTAGTCTGGCCTACATCTACCTTGTTGTTGTCACTTCTGGACAACGAGGCGGTTGGTGCAAATCCTGGCAACCACCCCTGAGTAGGTCTAAGGGGGTAACAAAGAAATAGGGGCTGGTCGAAAAGTAGGAAAAATTTTATTAGCTGAGCGATTAGCGAAGCCTATTACTCCATCTGGTCTAAAAAAAACTTTTTCTGTCTGTCTGCCCGTCTGCCTGTCTCTCTGTGTGTGTGTGTGTGTGTGTGTCTGTCTGTCCGCACGATAACTCGAGACCGAATTGAGCGAGCCACCTGCTGGGATTTTCAGGGTCGTTTTGTGTCTTAACAAGCAGGCCCGCCCTTCTGCCAAACGAAGTTGCCAGCTCCGCTTCGCTCCGCCGGCAACTCCGTTCGGCAGGGGCCGGGCCTGCTTGGCCTGCCGGCGGCG